TCCCCTTCTCCATGGTGCAAAGGGACCTCATCCTCAGTCGGAAGAGGCAAGACAGAATATTATCATATATCCCCTTTTATATGAAGGGGAGAGGGAGGGGTGTCGGGGGCAAAGATCAACATAGTATAACTCCGTGCAGGGTCAGAGGCGGAACCTTCTTACCGGACATGATGGCCTGTTTCACAAGTAGTTCCTGCATAATGTCATCCTCAGTACGGAAGATATACGCTGGGAGTGTTTTGGAAAGGTTGTGTAAGGAGGGTTCTGAGGCTTTCGGAGACTTTGGAAGTTGTGTATAGAATGTTTTGAGGTTTAGGGAGTTGTTGTGTATGGAGTGTTTTGGAGGAATTGAGATTTGTGTATGGAGTCTTTGGACTCCATACAGTTCAAACCTTTTAAAAACCTACTCACACACACACACACACACACACACACATATATATATATATATATATATATATATATATATATATATATATATATATATATATATATATATATATATATATATATATATATATATATATATATAAATGCCTTCTTGGGCTTCTATATTCCTTTCGTGTCAGCTTTTCCCATTTCCCCATTTGTCAAATGTTCTCCCCTCATTGACCATTCATTCTCTCCCCTCATTGACCATTCATTCTCTTCATCTTATGTCCCCTCTCTTCCTTACGCCGCAAAGTAAATAGCTTATTACACGACAGTCAAATATCTGGGTTATATTTCTGGTTACTTCATATGCACTCTCTCTCTCTCTCTCTCTCTCTCTCTCTCTCTCTCTCTCTCTCTCTCTCTCTCTCTCTCTCTCTCTCTCTCTCTCTCTCTCTCTCTCTCTCTCTCTCTCTCTCTTTCTCTCTTTCTCTCCTTTAATGGAACATTAAGGTTTGTTCAAATATTACATATTTCGTAAAAATGTGAGTAAAAAGTTCGAACCTATGATCGTGTAATAAATAAATATAAAATCTTAAAACAATATAAAATACATAGAACAATACTTAGAACATTTTTTAGATTACAAGCAACTGATGCTATGTTTTGGACACTGAGTATTGGGCTGTATATATTGCTGAATGTCACAGTTTCAACGAATTATGTAATTTTCGTCAAGAACACCAACAAATATAAACATATTCACTAATTTTAAGAACTCAGAGTCCCTATCCCCAGAGGGAACAAAACGTCGAGTCCACCGAAACTTAAGTGACAAACATCAGGCTCGTGCCTTGAGCATGTGAAAGAAATTAATGATATGAAAGTGTATTTTGTGGGGTAATGTTTATTCTTGGTGACATGAGTCACAGGCGGTGAGGTGCAGGCCAGCTAGCGGTTGTCGTGTTGTCGCGGGTGATTCTTGGAGATGCAGTGTGGGGGGAGCATTATGTAATCGATATGTTGTGTGTGTGTGTGTGTGTGTGTGTGTGTGTGTGTGTGTGTGTGTGTGTGTGTGTGTGTGTGTGTGTGTGTGTGTGTGTGTGTGTGTGTGTGTGTGTGTGTGTGTGTGTGTGTGTGTGTGTGTGTGTGTGTGTGTGTGTGTGTGTGTGTGTGTGTGTGTGTGTGTGTGTGTGTGTGCATATGTGTGAGAGACACATAGAGACCCCTAAACGTCTCCATGTGCAAGTTGCACGAAAGATAAATATGTCTCAAGGTTAAGGGAGGGTGTAATGATAGATAAAAATCTCAAGGTAGAGAGATGGTGTCAAGATATATGGCATACAAACTCAAAGAGAGATTGGCAATGTAGAAAAATATAGTGTCAGGTGGAGGTTTTCGAAGTAGATGGGGAGTAATTAAAGTAAATGGAAAATTAGCAAAGAAGGTGAAGTTGGTATGGTAGAGATATTAAGGTAAATTTAATGGCCCAGGGAAAGAGATGTTTCGTCTCCTGAGTAAAACTTTAGGCAGACTCCATGGACAGCCTGCTCTCTGGTCTGGCCATAGGGCTTAGAGACAGGTACATAGAGACACAGAGGTGCCTAGTGACAGACCAAACACAGGTGGTGCCAAGTGACAGACCTGAGACAGGTGGTACCTAGTGATAGACCAGAGGCAGTCTGTAATTTGGTACCTAGATACAGACCAGAGACGGGAGCCCAGTGACACATAGGAGACAGGAATCTAATGATTGCCTAGAGACAGATACAAAGAACCATTGGTTAAAAAAGAAGTAGTGCGTAGTAAAGCACTTAAAAACAGGAAAATATAATTGAAAATAAAAAAATGTAAGGGCCACGAAGAAATAAATATAACAAATTATGAAAATAAGGCAACAAATAGAGACATCAAGACAAAGACAAGATAAAGAGGTATTGAAGAAATAAATGATAGAAATACAAGAAAGGAGAAGCTCTTAGGTGCAGAGAAGAGAGGAGAAGGAGGAATTCAGGGAAGGCCAGAGTGTTTGGAGAGGGAAAGAAGGTAATCTGGGGAAGATTTATATGTGTTTGTCGATGGAGAGGTGGCAAGAGCAGCCAAGGGATTTATGTGGCCCTTGGTAATGAGCAAAATATATCCAGGTTTAGAGGAGGAAATTCAGATTATTTTTGTCAATATTGGAACTGTACACGTATTTTAAGGGCATACATACATACCTTATATATACATATAGATAATGTATGTTAAGAAAAGGTTAATGCAAAATCAAAAATTACCAAATCCAAGTATTTAGCCTTGGAAATAGGAAAATAAATTAGTTGGGGCGCTTCACAGACGACCCCTGAAGGATTGAAGACCGAAGGTGTCGTGGAAAACTTAGGGTGGGATTCCATTCCACAACATGAAATGTAGCAAAATAATAGATAGCGATGCGTTCAATTACTGGGTTGACGATATGTTGCTCATAGTTGCTTCTCATAGCAACTATGAGAAGCAGCAATGTACCATCTGCAGGACTTTTCTTGGAGAGGCGGAACACAATGTACATGTTGGAAGTTGGTGTCATTTGTATTCCCATACTTGTTTCTGCAGGATCGAACGGTTAGCTCCTGGACCCCACCTTTCTATCATCGGTTGTCTAATGTACCGACTTCCAACCAATTTTGTCTATGTGCTTGTGTATTTGTGTACTCATTCAATTATACTTGCGGGAGGGTTGATTTTCGGCACTTTGTTGTCGCCTCTCAAACGTCAATCAACTGGTGTACAGGTTCCTGAGCCTATTGGGCTCAATATCAGCTATTCAGGGCTCATATCACATATGAAACTGTCCCTTCTCTCATCTGTCAATCAACTGGTGTACAGGTTCCTGAGGCTATTGGGCTCATATCACATATGAAACTGTAAATAGAGTCTGCCTCCCCCACATCACTTTCTAGTGTATTCCATTCGTTAACTACTCTGACACTAAAAAAAATAATTATAATGCCTCTGTGACTCATGTAGGTATACAATTTTCACAATTGTCCCCTTGTGCGTGTACCCCCTGTGTTAAATCAACTATCTTTATCTACCCTCTTAATTCCTCTGAGAATCTTTAATGTGGTCTTCATGTCTCCCCTAACTCTTTTGTCTTCCTGCGACGTTAAGTTTAGTTCACATAGTCTCTCCCTGTGGCCCATGCCCCTCAGCTCTGGTACTAGTCTGGTGGTATACCGTCGAACTTTCTTCAATTTAGTCATGTGCTTGGCTAGACACGGACTCAACGCTGGATATGCATACTTCAGGATTGGACTGATATATGTGGAATACAAGGTTCTGGATGATTCCTGACACAGTTGTGTGTGTGTGTATGTACTCACCTAGTTCTGCTTGCGGTGGTTGAGCTCTGGCTCTTTGGTCCCGCCTCTCAACAGTCAATCAACTGATGTACAGATTCTTGAGCCTACAGGGCTCTATCATATCTACATTGGAAACTGTGTATGGAGTCTGCCTTCACCATATCACTACCTAATGCATTCCATTTACTAACTACTCTGACACTGAAAAGTTCTTTCTTACGTCCCTTTGGCCCATTTGGGTACTCAGTCTCCACTTGTATCCCCATTTTCTTGTACCACCCGTGTTAAACAATTTATCATTTCCTTCCCTCTCAATTCCTCTGATAGTTTTGTAGGTAGTGATCATGTCTCCCTTTACTCTTCTGTCTTCCAGTGTCAATATGTGTATGTGTGTGTGTGTGTGTGTGTGTGTGTGTGTGTGTGTGTGTGTGTGTGTGTGTGTGTGTGTGTGTGTGTGTGTGTGTGTGTGTGTGTGTGTGTGTGTTTGTGTGTGCCTGCTTGTGTTTCCCAATATTCGTCAACCACTCATCTTGAATAATAGGTCATATAAACATATAAGTCCAACACCAAAGTTTGTTTAAAACAATGTTTAAATACGGTGCTAAACATTGTATTGATGTATTAAACACTATGCTTAATGCAGCAAACGTAGATTTTTGGTGTATTAATGTATTTATTTGAAAGCCATTACTCATTAACCCAAATCGTGCTCATATATCAGGTAGTGAGAGTGATGTGTCAACTGTCTCATCTTGGCCTCATATTAGGTAATGACTGTCATGTCATATATCTCATCCTCATATTAGGTAATGACAGTAATGTCATATGTCTCAACTTACCCGTCACATAGGATAGTGAGAATAATGTGTCCTCATCCTTTTATGACATGGAGAAAATAATTGCATGAGTGATTTAAAGACGTCAGAGATACGAGGCATCTGTCTCTTCGTTATGAAGGATTGAATAATATAATGGCGATTATTTCGTGAATGAACAGAGATGATATTCACAACGTAAGATCAGCAGTCAGAAAAAGGTTCAGTGATTTATAATAACTTGGGGGGGGGGGCGAAGATTGGTCATGTTGTAGTGATTGAGACCGTACCTAACCATTTGTGTGGGACCATACCTAACCATCTGTGTGGGACCATACCTAACCATCTGTGTGGGACCATACCTAACCATCTGTGTGGGACTGTACCTAACCATCTGTGTGAGACCATATCCAGCCATCTGTGTGGGACCATTCCCAACCTGTGTATTAAACCACAATGTGTGTTCGAGACAATACCCAACCAAGAGTGTGGTACCATACCCAACCATGAGTGTGAGACCATACCCAACCACGAGTGTGAGACCATACCCAACCACGAGTGTGAGACCAGACCCAACCACGAGTGTGAGACCATACCCAACCACGAGTGTGAGACCATACCCAACCACGAGTGTGAGACCATACCCAACCATGAGTGTGAGACCATACCCAACACGAGTGTGAGACCCAACCACGAGTGTGAGACCACACCCAACCACGAGTGTGAGACCATACCCAACCACGAGTGTGAGACCATACCCAACCACGAGTGTGAGACCATACCCAACCACGAGTGTGAGACCATACCCAACCACGAGTGTGAGACCATACCCAACCACGAGTGTGAGACCATACCCAACCACGAGTGTGAGACCATACCCAACCACGAGTGTGAGACCATACCCAACCACGAGTGTGAGACCATACCCAACCACGAGTGTGAGACCATACCCAACCACGAGTGTGAGACCAAACCCAACCACGAGTGTGAGACCATACCCAACCACGAGTGTGAGACCAAACCCAACCACGAGTGTGAGACCATACCCAACAATGCTTGCGTTGTGGCACAATCTTGCTGGTTACACAATTAAAACAATTACATTGGAATGCTGCTGCATTTTAGCCAAGCAAGACAAAGTTTTATGCTCAGTACCTTGACCTTTCAGTGGGACAGTGTGTTGATTATCTTTCAGTGGAATGGTGTTTACTTTATCACTGCCTTTCCCCTAAAGGATGAAGAGTTTTTAATCTGAAAAGCGGGCCCGAAGGGTTCTGATGATGAACGCAAAGCACTCTGATGGCAATCCCGGAGCACTCTGATCCTGGAACTCGGAAGATATGTCGAATATACCCATTCGGAAAGTTAATATGATGACACGGTCTTCATAGCGAAGGAGAGAAACTTTGCAATTTATCAATTTTACAATTGTTACAAAAAAATTCAAGTGGTTTGCAATTTTTCTAGTGGTTTATTTATGTCTATGAACATTCACTTTGCATTTAAATGAGCATTTCGCAGCCTGGATGCAAATAGAATTTCGATTCTAATTTCATGAAGCCCCCAAAAAAATAGTGCCTGTGCGTTCTTAAAATTCTTATCTTATAAGGGTATCATGAGTTCTCTGACGTTCTTAATGTATTTATATTATTGTTGTTAATTCTTTCATAATTTTGTGCACTTTCACTGAAGATAAAGATTATTTTTTTGTCGTGCATTCTTGTTATATTTTAAAATGTGAATTTCTGAATGACTTACATGCAGGAAATTTTCCCAAATCTTCCTCTACACTAATATTTTTCCAAATTTGTCCATCGAGCACAAATTAATAATTTACAAGATAGTTTCTCAATTCATATAAAATCTTGATATTTTTTATATACTTATCAAATATATGTTTCCCAATAGACCCATTTACAACTTTTGGGGGAAGACGAAGGATGGGGAAAAAATGAAATATTATGGAAAACATAAAACATGGAGGGTTGACGTCGTATGAAATTCATATCGTTGATTCATGGCGCTCTGGCTGTCCCTGGCGCAACGTTGGAGGAACGTGAGTTATTTGGTCCGTGTCGGCGCTAGGGACCCCAGCCACTGTTGGGAGGCGTCTCGTGGAGAAGGGCGTCCCTTTCCACCAGCTGCTTAAAGGAAGGGGGGGACGTGTTTAGGAGGTATCTTGTGGAGACGGGCGCCCCTTCCTCCAACCCCACCAGTTGCTTAGAGCAGTGGGTGTTTGGGAGTCCTTTTGAGGAAAAGGACGTCCCTTCCTCCAACCCCACCAGTTGCTTAGAGCAGTGGGTTCTTGGGAGGCATCTTGAGGTGAAGGGTCCAAAGGACAGGAAGCAGTATAGCTTAGGTGGAAGAACAGCTTAGGCTAAGCGGATGTGTTGGTGAGTGTGGTGTGTAGTGGCGATAAGGTTGACCCGTGAAGGACTGTTGTGTGGCAGTAAAAACTGCTCGTGGAACAGAAATAGTCGTAGAGGTTATCTGTGGTGGTGGCTTTGCTGATAAAATTAGGGTTTGAGAACCAGTTTCATACAAGTAGGGACTTCTGATTTCGGTAATGATGTTTTGTAGAGAGAGTCTGAGATCGGGAGAGGATTGGCATCGTTGTGAGTATTGTGGAAGAACGGGAGGAGTGGAGATGTGATAGAAAGGATTGTGATTGTAACAGGTTGCGGTAATGGAGGTTTTAAAGAATAAGGATGCTATGTGCTGACTGATGTAATTGCAATTACTGACGCAATCACGGTGACAATACACAGGTTAAAGAAGTTAGAATTGGCGAAGTAACCATGTAAAGAGTGTTCAATAAGACTAAACAGGAAATAATTGCGTTAGAAAACTTCCATTTATATATATATATATATATATATATATATATATATATATCTATATATATATATATATATATATATATATATATATATATATATATATATATATATATATATATATATATATATATATATATATATATATATATATATATATATATATATATATATATATATATATATATATATATATATATATTTATATATATTGTGTATTTAATATTTAATATTTGTTTCTGCAGAGTCGAGTTGTTAGCTCTTTGATCCCGCCTTTCTAATCAATCAAATTTTTCTCTATTATATCTACTACATATATTTCTATCACATACCCACATCCCCGGACGCAGCTACGTGGCATCTGTCTAACTCATAAGTACCTATTTACTGCTAAGTGAACATGGGCATCAGGGTGAAAGAAACTCTGCTCATTGGTTTCAGCCTTGACCGGGAATCGAACTCGGACCCTTAGAACTACGAACCCCGAGCCCTGTTCACTCAACCACGAGACCCCTAATGTATGTGTGTGTGTGTGTGTGTGGTGTGTGTGTGTGTGTGTGTGTGTGTGTGTGTGTGTGTGTGTGTGTGTGTGTGTGTGTGTGTGTGTGTGTGTGTGTGTGTGTGTGTGTGTGTGTGTGTGTGTGTGTGTGTGTGTGTGTGTGTGTGTGTGTGTGTGTGTGTGTGTGTGTGTGTGTGTACACACAGACCGAAACGTCGTCATCTTACTTTGAATATAGTTCGGTCGAGTTTTTATATTCAGCTACGTTATTGTGACCTAATCTCTACAACAGACACGCATAATTGTGTCTATTTGGCTTCTTCGTGTTAAATTCGTGTATGGTGCTATTAGCAAGATGGTGGTGTAGGTGAGGCTGAGTCTGGCGGTAGTTGATAGAGCCATTGTGAAATCCCAAGTACAGGTTCTCAGTGACTTCCTTGGCAACAGTATCGGTGCTGTCGAGCGGGAATTACGCCACCAGCATGTGATATCCAACTTTATTATGAAACGTTTGGATATAGCAGACTTTCAGTGGGGGGTTTACACGTGATCATAGCCAAACAAAAGTCATTTATGGCTGCTGTTCATCTTTGTCAGACGCATCGGCGACTCAAAGAAGATCTTCTTGTTCAGCCTGATATTGTTCCTGAAATATACTGTAGGCAAGTCATCAACCTTCACTAAAACCATTTAGAAGAACAATAGTGCTGCTACAGCCGTGTACTGATGTCATCTCAGATATGCAGATGAGGGAGCTGGCAAGCAGGGAAGGAAATGGAGAATAATGTCACGGCAGGATTCAGGAAAATCATCAAGAAATTCCTATTGGGAAGCGGGATTTACGTGATGAATTGATGTTGCTGATCCTTAAATGAATACAGATGGGGGTGAGGGAGCCAAATATCAAGATAAAAACCCGGTGAGTCAACATCGGAATATTAAAACCTTCCGTCATATCTGGTTGCTTAAGCTTTCTTAGATTCCAAAAACAAAAATACATATAACTTAAATATTTTGTCTATAATAATTTACACACGCACTCTCACACACACACACACACACACACACACACACACACACACACACACACACACACACACACACACACACACACACACACACACACACACACATACACACACACACACACACACACACACACACACACATACACACACACACACAACACACACACACACAGGTCCAAACTTGCCCTTCACGGATGCCAGGATAATATTATATCAATTTACCATATGATATGGTTATGGAGTACTTAATGTTGCTCTGAACTTGCACTTTGCAAGCCTAGGTTGGATTCCTTGTGGATGACCTTGAAGTGGGTGTGGTAAATATTAGCTCCGCGACGGACTAATCCTGTTTCTACACACACACACACACACACACACACACACACACACACACACACACACACACACACACACACACACACACACACACACACACACACACACACACACACACACACACACACACACACACACACACACTTTTACCGTCGTGGTGTTGATCTTATTTAATACAAGACTTGAAATGACTTACGCATATAAAAACTGAATTAATAAAGTTCATGAATGCGACGATCAAACGACTGTAGAAATAAACTTTCGAATTGTAAATTAACATGTAAGAAGTGTCAATAAATGGTATTCAATCATATGAGGTACTTGTTCTACAATCTGCATGGAAGCAAAACAAACTAAATAAATAGATATCTAATAGACAGTATATAATCTTCTGTAATTATGTAAATAAGTAAAACATTCATATAAATGTTTACATAAAATAACAAATGAAAGTTAATTGATTATTAATAAATGTTTTCCACTAATAATTAGATATATTATTAACAAAAGAAATAATAATAAATTTTATGATAATTATATATTAAATGTCATTTTATATATTCATTACATTATTATTAATATATTTTAATAATACAAATATTTCAATTATGATAATTATTTCAATAAAAATAATAATAATAATAATAATAATAATAATAATAATAATAATTATAATAATAATAATAATAATACTTATAATGATTAATAGGTAGTCTCACAATCTCAACAACATGTACACCGATACACACAAGGGGAGTCAATGCGACCTACTTCTACCAATGGTGTGTGTGTGTCCAAATGTTTATGTAGTAGCAGCCCTCCCATACATTAGGAATCGTCGGTCCCCAGTCTGGTTTATGAGCATGTTGGCCGCTGGCGGGACCTGGCCGCCCGCACGCCACAGCTCCGGGGACGTGGTGTGGTTTTCTTGTCCAGCCGATTACAACACTTGTTTCAATTCTTTACGAGGGTTTTAGACTAATTGATCGCGAGGATTGTCATACGTCTGTGATCCTGTGAGGCTATATATATATATATATATATATATATATATATATATATATATATATATATATATATATATATATATATATATATAATACTTCATATTTGTATCATTGTGTTTTTTCCAAATCTTACTTCATTTTCACATATTTGAGCTTCAGTTCTTGGGTTTCGTCTCTCAGTCTACATATTGTTGTAATATGTATATGTTGCAACATTCCTGGTCTAATCCTTCTCGTGTTTTCACATCAGCAAGCATTGATAGGAAGCAGTCAGTCCCGCCTGGGAGGTCAATCACATGAGTCATGAATAATATTGGAAGCCCTCGAGTAGCACTCCCCAAGAAAGAGTATATCTGCTCTATATTCTTCTAGCCACTGTTCACTTC